TCCAGCTGTTAGAGGGGGGGGGCTAAAAATTTTTTTAGCCCCTTCCTTTTTTTTTTTTAAAAAAAAAAAAAAAAAAAAGACTTCCCGCGGGGAGGGTTGATGTCAGACAGATCTTAAATGAGAATCGTCTCTTCTTATTCTACCCAATAGGCTTTGAACAAGATATCTAAACTCTGATTCTCAGTTTTCTCATCTGTAAAATGAAAGAATCACATAACATATAAAATTAAAAGATAATTAATAAAATACTGTAATGTTAAGTGATTGGTGCATTGCCAATTCTCAATAAAACAGCTTAATTTTGTCTCCCTTTTCTGAAAACAAAAACCCACCAAATATACCTGTAAATTCTCCCAGCGAGACAAGGTGTTTTAGTCCGTTTTGTGTTGCTATAATAATTACCTGAGACTGGGTAATTTATAAGGAAAAGAGGTTTATTTGGCTTACGATTCTGGGACAGCTGCATCTGGCATGGGCCTCAGGCTGCCTCTACTCGTGGTGGAAAGTGGCAGGCAGCCGGCAGGTACAAGCAGAACACATGGCGAGAGGAAGCAAGAGAGAGGAAGCAAGACAGAGAGAGAAGGTGCCAGAATCTTTTTAAGCAATGAGCTCTCGTGGGAACTAATAGAGCGAGAACTCACTCATTAATCCCCCCTCCCCCAGAGAGAGCATTGATCCATTCATGAGGGATCCGCCCCATGACTCAATCAGTTTCCAACACTGCCACATTGGGGATCAAAATTCCACATGAGTTTTGGAGGGGAAACACATCCAAACTCCATCACAAGGTTAAATACCTTTCTCTCCTTTTACCTGGTTATAAGTCTTTTCGGCTTTTATTTTTTAAGTTTGAATTGACCCTTAAACAAAAGATTAACACCAGTTAGGGAAACCAAGCCAATTTTTATGGAGGATTTACCTCCTATGAAGTATGGCATTTAATCACCAAGCCAATCTTGTGAAGTTAGTATTACCATCCCATAAAACAGATAAGACCAAGGCTTGAAGTAACTCAACTGATATATTTCATAAGTTTTGCAGCAGGGTTTTAAACTCCTGATCTATCTATCTCCAAAGTTCATGATTTTTGCTAGCCTTCCTCCATGAATTCTGAACTGTCTTTTGAAGGTAAATTGCTTTTTTTCCTCTCTTTCTATTTGACTTGCATTGAACGATGATGCAGTGTCCACAATGAGATAAATGTTGCTTTAACTTTCCAGGATATAGCAATGAACCAGAGACAGAGTCTTTGCTGAAGTGAGGCTTACAGATGCTGGGGATGGGAGGCGGAGATCAGGCAGTAAACATTTAGGTTTTAAATGTTTCTAGGGGAATTAAATTCCATGAAAAAAATAAAGCATAGTAAAGGGTGAGATTGATGGTGAGACAAGATGCCGTATTGTATAGAATGGCCAGGAAAAGCCTCTTTAATGAGGTTCCTTTCCAGGAGAGGTGAGAATAAAATGAGGGGCAGCTATGGCAATATCCAGAAGGGGAACTTCCCACACAGAGCATGTGCAAAGGCCCTGAAGCAGAAGCATGGCCATGGCACTTGCTGGACTGAAATGAGGCCGGTGTGATAGAAGCAGATTGTCAAAGATGGACAATGGTTGGTGGTAAGGTCAGAGTTAGTGTCAACTAAGGTTATTTTGATTATGTTGGTCATGTTAAGGATTTGGGGTTTTACTTCAAGTCAGATGGGAAGTCATTGGAGAATTTGATGAGAGGAGCCATGATCTGGCTCAAGTTTTAATATTTAATTTTGCCTGATGAGAAAAGAATAGATTGTGAAGGGGACAGGAACAAAAGCATAGAGACTGGAAAATCATTGCAGTGGTCTGGGTGAGACTGTTTTCTTCAATCAACCTCACATCCTCTCCCTCTCTTCTTTCATCTCCTAATTCTCCTAACTTCACACTTCTCACTTCCTCTCATGCCTCCAACCTCTAAACATTGGAGTGTCATACCAGACACTGTTATAAAGTGTGATATTGAAGACAGTATAGCATTAATGTATAAGTTTTCATCTGGACCAACAGGATGTCAATTGTACAGCCACTTTGGTCTCTTTGCTTGCTCAAAGGGAGATTCCCACATATACAAAAGCAATATATGAAAATCAATATGTCACAATCAACATCACAGTCAATACACCACAAATTAATGGAGAAAGGATTGACACTTCAATAAATGATTCTAAGACAATTGCTTATATATGTGGGAGAAAACTTAGATTTCTACTTCACATTATGCAAAAAGTAAATACCAAGTAATTTAAAGAAGATAAATGTGAGAACAATTTCCCCTGAAAATAAAAATATAGAAGAATATCTTTAAGATTTCAAGGTAGGAAAAATCTGCTCTAATAAGATGCTCAAATTTGTAAACCATGAAGGAAAAGAATAATCAATTATTTCTCTTCCTCCTGTCAGACTTCATTCTTTAGGATATTATCTCCCAAGTTAACACAGAGAAGAGCTTGCCCTTAAGCTGAAAGTTGGAAGGTATAGCCATTGTAAAGGGAAACTAACAATGGAACATTTAGTTATGGGGCTTTATGTCATTTTCAATGCATATAATAGTTCAGACTGCTTTTTATTAAGTAAAAACAAATTTTCCTGGTGTTTTGGTAATCAGAAATATAAGTTCTATACCTGACATTTAAGCACTCTCAATTTTATCTATAAAATGTAGCCAGTAATATATTTTTCACCCACTTTTACAAAAATTAGAATCAAATAGGATTATTTACATTCAAATACTTTTGGATTTTTCAAGCACAATAAAAAAATCAACTTATTAATATTAAGTCAGATATATACTAACTAAGTAGAGATCTAAGACATACATTAGGAAAACTGGAATTTTTACAACTCTGTTCTACACAGGTGTTCTGATTTAGACAAAAATGGGGAGTTTTGATTTATCGAATAAATAGTTTTTCTTTTGCATTTTATTCCAGTAGAGTAGACTTGGGCAGTTAATATCTTGACAGATATGTAATCTCTCTGGATAAAATGTAACCACAATGATTATTCACATTGAGCCTTAGATTTTACAGAAAAATGGAAAACATAAGAGCAGTTTCTAAAACCTTAGACTCATGGGAGCCACAATTTTTCTCAATTGCATTTTATTTTTTCTTAGGTATTCAAACTGCTTTGGAGAGGGTATGTTCTGTGCGCTTGAGTGAGATAAATTGCTCATGTAAGCAGATGATTCCAGAATGCATTTAGATGTAATACATATATATATATATATACACACACACATACACACACACACACATACACACAGTGGCTGTGTCTGAACAAACTATAAAGAACAGAAGCAGTTAGTAAGATGATTAGCAAACACATTCTACTTCTGATATCACTGATATATTTTGGATAGAATTATGTGTGTTTAAGTGATAATGTAAAGATGGTGAGACAAAAAAGAAAAAAAACAGCTAGAGAGAGAAGGGTTGCTGAACTAATTGTGGGTAGCAATAAACGTAGCCTACAGTGTATCAATGGCATATTAAACTCAGGTTTCTTACTAGATTGCATTGCTATCCAAGTAGGTCCATTCTTATGGGACCCAGCATGGGAATATAGTGTCCTTGATAATATCTGGGGTTATTTTTCCTGTGATCTTGAGTAGCAACTGCTATGAATTTCTCTCAATAGCAGGATATAGAGAAGATAATAATTTGCAATTCCAATGTGAGAAGTCTAGTGTGGTAGGTGTCAGACACTGCTTCCTCTGTTTCATTTTTACTAATAGGATCCCAGTTCTGCTCAGAAAGCAAAAGACCAGGAAAAATATTTATCTGCCCAGAACTCCTTGCAGCTAAGAGTAGCCATGTGACTCACTCTGACCAATGGGATGGAAATGAGAGTCTACCTGAAGAATAAGCTATATATTTTTTCACATGAAAAGGAAGACCTGACCGGCTCTCCTTTGCCTTTTATTCTCTTTCCTCCATAGAGATGGATGTGATGTTAAAGATGGTAAAACAGAGAATTAGAAGGAACTTGGGTCTGATGACTGCTTTCTCGAGCACCTGCCCCGTCCATGTATTCTCTATCTTCAGATTTTGACTGATGTTAGAACAAGTAAAAACCCCTATTTGATTAAGCTACCACAGTTGGATTTTTGTTCTATGCAGCTGAACAGAATCTTATGGACACGGCAGCAGCCAGTGGGTAGTTATAAGCAAGTGACCCACTTGTAAGCATTATAAGCATGATCTTACAGTGTGGTACTCTTACCAGTGGAGAAACATTGATAATATTAAATCACATGGTTACAAAAGTATTTTCCAATTATTTTCTGTACTGATTACTTCAAAGAGCAAAGTCTCAGTTTGGTGCTAGTATGTCTTAAAAAGCTTTCTAAAACTCGTTTCTCCCCTTACAACATGCTGAGATAAACTTCCGGCTCAGAGCCTTTGTTAAGCATCTTTGTCTAGCTAAAATTTCATAACATGTTCGTTTTCATCAAGTTTGGTTTATAGTCATCTCATTATGGCACAGGCTTACTGGTTTTTCTATCATAGAAATGATGCAAGATTTCCTCATAAAACAAATGTAAATAAAAACGAGTTGATTTAAAAAATATTAACTAAATACAAGCAAAAATGATACAGAGGGGAAAATTTGTAAAAATAAGGACAATAGTATATAAATGACTAAAGTTTGGTAAAGTGAGTTCTAGGCATATTGAGTTCCTAAATGTAAATAAAAACGAGTTGATTTAAAAAATATTAACTACATACAAGCAAAAATGATACAGAGGGGAAAATTGGTAAAAACAAGGACAATAGTATATAAATGACTAAAGTTTGGTAAAGTGAGTTCTAGGCATATTGAGTTCCAGTGTTAGGCCTATAAGAATAATTCCTGACTCTTTAATACTTTGGGGCCATATTTTGTCTGCTATTTTAAAACAACCTTAACAAAATATAGTCTGTTGTTCAAACATCTTCAGTACTGAGTGTTAACCAAGTTAGGAAAACCCCAACGCAAAATTTCTTCACTTCCCTCTTGTGAACGTGAACAGAATGCTTCAGGCCTACTATGCTATCATCTAGACTCAGTTACTAAAGTCGCAGTCTAGATTTTGTTCTTTGAAATCCTAAAAAATATTCCATATATTTTCTGTATAGATGATCAATCAATATTTATACATGTTGAGTTATTGCAGAGAAGGAGAGCTATAGAAATTTTCTCTTGAGCTAAACTTTCAACTTTATCACCTAACACAATGTATTCAATGACTTGAAAATTATTAAAACTCAGTAGTGAATGCTGGATGTCAGTACAGAACCCTCTCTCACTTGGCATCTCTTTGCACACTTGTTTTCAGCATCATGTTCAGCTTTTCAAATAAATACAATTTGCTGTTGCAAGTTCCCCTTGTTTGAAAAATGTGGGGTCTCAATTATTGGGTATAATCTTATATGAAAAAGAAATCAGAAAAAAAGGTCAAATTGTGTAGGAAAAAACTTGAAAACCAAAGCTCTGCTATTGTGGGAGAGGAAAGCTTAAAATTATAAGTTACACTTACCAGCCAGCTGCCAAAGAAGAAAGAAAAAATATTATAAATTACAGATTCTCTGATTTTAAAGTTTTACCAAATCCTCTCTGTAGCCATTGCAATGCCTGAATAATTATGTCAGTAAATTTCATTTTAGAGATCTTTTACAAGACTAGAAAATTGTCCAGTAATTATAAACACTTCAGATTTTTTTATTACAAAAGTGCTTTCTTCATATCAAAGCTATATGCACTTCTTCCTCTTGCTAATTCTAGTCATTCCACCTTAAAATAAACATACGGAAGCCTATAGCAGAGACACAGGCACTGGGTGATGATGGGTTACTGTATAAGGAAAGAATATAAGAAAACAATACAAAAGATAAGAGAGCAATGTTGCGAATGTGGCTTGGGTCTAAGGCATGCAGGTCCTCCCACGAGATGGGGCCGGTACACAGAATGGCTGGTGGAATCAATGGGGCTAATGCAGGAGCTAAGGGCACAGGCAGGACTGGGGCATTTACACAGCTTCAGAGCCTGATGCGAAAGGGCACAGTGAAGGATTGGATATACTCTTCATGGGGGTTAGCTCCCACATGATGCTGTAATTCTAAAATATTGGCATTGAAGTATCCAGTTGGGTGAGGAATGTGCCATAAGCAGGGGAATATGCGTTGAGTGGAAGTTAGGAGACACCATGCCCTGCCCCACTTAGGGTGCCCAGCCCCCACTGTGGTACGTTGGATGTTAGGATCCCGAGACTGTTGGTGAGAAAGAGTTTACTGGGCTCCAGACTGAGCCCAGTCATTTCTGGCTAAGCTCATATATTTTAGGTTAGATTGTATCTCTATGCTATTCTGGATCAGTCCAACTCAGCATGAACTCATCTTCACTCTGTCTTTAGAGTAAATCAAGTGGCAGGATCTATAAAAACTGGGAATTTNCTACAGTGTATCAATGGCATATTAAACTCAGGTTTCTTACTAGATTGCATTGCTATCCAAGTAGGTCCATTCTTATGGGACCCAGCATGGGAATATAGTGTCCTTGATAATATCTGGGGTTATTTTTCCTGTGATCTTGAGTAGCAACTGCTATGAATTTCTCTCAATAGCAGGATATAGAGAAGATAATAATTTGCAATTCCAATGTGAGAAGTCTAGTGTGGTAGGTGTCAGACACTGCTTCCTCTGTTTCATTTTTACTAATAGGATCCCAGTTCTGCTCAGAAAGCAAAAGACCAGGAAAAATATTTATCTGCCCAGAACTCCTTGCAGCTAAGAGTAGCCATGTGACTCACTCTGACCAATGGGATGGAAATGAGAGTCTACCTGAAGAATAAGCTATATATTTTTTCACATGAAAAGGAAGACCTGACCGGCTCTCCTTTGCCTTTTATTCTCTTTCCTCCATAGAGATGGATGTGATGTTAAAGATGGTAAAACAGAGAATTAGAAGGAACTTGGGTCTGATGACTGCTTTCTCGAGCACCTGCCCCGTCCATGTATTCTCTATCTTCAGATTTTGACTGATGTTAGAACAAGTAAAAACCCCTATTTGATTAAGCTACCACAGTTGGATTTTTGTTCTATGCAGCTGAACAGAATCTTATGGACACGGCAGCAGCCAGTGGGTAGTTATAAGCAAGTGACCCACTTGTAAGCATTATAAGCATGATCTTACAGTGTGGTACTCTTACCAGTGGAGAAACATTGATAATATTAAATCACATGGTTACAAAAGTATTTTCCAATTATTTTCTGTACTGATTACTTCAAAGAGCAAAGTCTCAGTTTGGTGCTAGTATGTCTTAAAAAGCTTTCTAAAACTCGTTTCTCCCCTTACAACATGCTGAGATAAACTTCCGGCTCAGAGCCTTTGTTAAGCATCTTTGTCTAGCTAAAATTTCATAACATGTTCGTTTTCATCAAGTTTGGTTTATAGTCATCTCATTATGGCACAGGCTTACTGGTTTTTCTATCATAGAAATGATGCAAGATTTCCTCATAAAATAAATGTAAATAAAAACGAGTTGATTTAAAAAATATTAACTACATACAAGCAAAAATGATACAGAGGGGAAAATTGGTAAAAACAAGGACAATAGTATATAAATGACTAAAGTTTGGTAAAGTGAGTTCTAGGCATATTGAGTTCCAGTGTTAGGCCTATAAGAATAATTCCTGACTCTTTAATACTTTGGGGCCATATTTTGTCTGCTATTTTAAAACAACCTTAACAAAATATAGTCTGTTGTTCAAACATCTTCAGTACTGAGTGTTAACCAAGTTAGGAAAACCCCAACGCAAAATTTCTTCACTTCCCTCTTGTGAACGTGAACAGAATGCTTCAGGCCTACTATGCTATCATCTAGACTCAGTTACTAAAGTCGCAGTCTAGATTTTGTTCTTTGAAATCCTAAAAAATATTCCATATATTTTCTGTATAGATGATCAATCAATATTTATACATGTTGAGTTATTGCAGAGAAGGAGAGCTATAGAAATTTTCTCTTGAGCTAAACTTTCAACTTTATCACCTAACACAATGTATTCAATGACTTGAAAATTATTAAAACTCAGTAGTGAATGCTGGATGTCAGTACAGAACCCTCTCTCACTTGGCATCTCTTTGCACACTTGTTTTCAGCATCATGTTCAGCTTTTCAAATAAATACAATTTGCTGTTGCAAGTTCCCCTTGTTTGAAAAATGTGGGGTCTCAATTATTGGGTATAATCTTATATGAAAAAGAAATCAGAAAAAAAGGTCAAATTGTGTAGGAAAAAACTTGAAAACCAAAGCTCTGCTATTGTGGGAGAGGAAAGCTTAAAATTATAAGTTACACTTACCAGCCAGCTGCCAAAGAAGAAAGAAAAAATATTATAAATTACAGATTCTCTGATTTTAAAGTTTTACCAAATCCTCTCTGTAGCCATTGCAATGCCTGAATAATTATGTCAGTAAATTTCATTTTAGAGATCTTTTACAAGACTAGAAAATTGTCCAGTAATTATAAACACTTCAGATTTTTTTATTACAAAAGTGCTTTCTTCATATCAAAGCTATATGCACTTCTTCCTCTTGCTAATTCTAGTCATTCCACCTTAAAATAAACATACGGAAGCCTATAGCAGAGACACAGGCACTGGGTGATGATGGGTTACTGTATAAGGAAAGAATATAAGAAAACAATACAAAAGATAAGAGAGCAATGTTGCGAATGTGGCTTGGGTCTAAGGCATGCAGGTCCTCCCACGAGATGGGGCCGGTACACAGAATGGCTGGTGGAATCAATGGGGCTAATGCAGGAGCTAAGGGCACAGGCAGGACTGGGGCATTTACACAGCTTCAGAGCCTGATGCGAAAGGGCACAGTGAAGGATTGGATATACTCTTCATGGGGGTTAGCTCCCACATGATGCTGTAATTCTAAAATATTGGCATTGAAGTATCCAGTTGGGTGAGGAATGTGCCATAAGCAGGGGAATATGCGTTGAGTGGAAGTTAGGAGACGCCATGCCCTGCCCCACTTAGGGTGCCCAGCCCCCACTGTGGTACGTTGGATGTTAGGATCCCAAGACTGTTGGTGAGAAAGAGTTTACTGGGCTCCAGACTGAGCCCAGTCATTTCTGGCTAAGCTCATATATTTTAGGTTAGATTGTATCTCTATGCTATTCTGGATCAGTCCAACTCAGCATGAACTCATCTTCACTCTGTCTTTAGAGTAAATCAAGTGGCAGGATCTATAAAAACTGGGAATTTGGGCACATGTATCTGAGAGATAGGTAACGGGTGTGGTGGTAATTGGCAATCACTGTCCTGGGGGAAAACCCAGCTCAGGGCAGAAGCATCACTAGAAACCAGGAAGGAAAGGGAAGTAATCCAGGTACGTACGTGATAAGGGGAAGGTCACAAATAGCGACAATGCCAAGTGAGTTTCTGCTCTTGGAGGCAGTTTAGCTCCTCTCAGCAAGGCTTGGAGTGGCTCCTAGTCTAGGGTGCCTTAAAAATAAGATACTCGTTGGAGCAGTGCCTCTGTTGTACATAATACTCATTGTCTATTCAGAGATAATGTTGCCCTGCTGCATCTGAGATTGGTATAAAGTAACAATATAATTCAAACTTAGTTGGGTGTGCTTGCATGAGCATGAATGTGAGTTTTAAAAGAGATAAAGTACACATGAATAGATGAGAACAGCAGGTTTTTTAAAACCTTCATATTACATAAAAGAGTCATTGCCGAGTAAATGTGCTACTGCCGACTGTTGGGATGCAGAGCCAATTCTGAATATTTAAGCAATAATTGACACTGTCTTCAAAGCGATGAATGGCTCCCATGTTGAGACCACATATTGCTATGTTTACTTAGAGGCTGAGTTGATGATAGGCTTTATATCACATTCAGGAAAGAAATGAGAGTATCTGAAAGATGTTTCATATTAATATTACTGTTAACACTGAGACACTGGCTTCTGAAGTGAAATTTGCAGATTTTGAGCTCTTCATAAGAAAGTAAAATTGTAAGTTTAATTGAATGAGTAAATTAGTACTAACCAAATATATTTGTAGCTAATTCATAATATAGAAATATTTTCAGATGAATGTTGTAGGTAAGAAGGAAGCACAAATTATATATATATATATATATATATATATATATACACACACACACACACATATATATAAACAAATACATATGTATATTTGAAGAATGTCCTGACATAAGCTCTGCCTATGTGTACTGTTCCTTTTGAATTTCAACCTACATTTTAAAAAAAATCTATAAATTAATCAGTCATTTTTTAATTTGACTTTTTATGTACTGGGACATATAACCAGATTAATTTTGTCTTTCTGTTATCTCAGTGTTCTGTTTTGGTTCTGAAGCTCAGCCTAAGAAGCCAGATAAATAAACATGGCTGTTCAGAGAAACCTAGGACACCTTCAGCTGGGTGAAGTAGATAGGGCTCCCTACTTCAAGAGAAGAGACTGTATGTTCTTCCTGTTGGACATATTTCCAGCTGCAACTCAGTCTGTT